TATATTTATTTTAATAATCCCCAATTCAGTGGATTTTGAGGTATTTAGTAAATTCGATATTGCTAATTAGGGTTTGGGGACGTTAGGTTAGTATTTGGATCGTAATTAATTGAGTTGAAGCTCTCAGGTTTCCTAAAGGGAAAACGTAAGTTAAGGGTGCATTAGTATTCATTTTGATGCTATTCCCAATTCATAGCCTATGCCACGGTGGTTGTAATTGGAGACAGATGCGTAAGAAATGGTCAAAGGGTAGCATGTAAAATTGTAACACACGCCTGAGAAGCCCAATGCTTCACACTCTAACCTGAATCCACGTGGGAGCTTCCATGCATCACAAAGCCAAAATCATTTTGCTGCTTCTTGGCGGGGTCTCGACGTTGTCGGTGTTTTTAAAATTGTGATTTTAACTTTTAAAATATATAGGAAAACAATTCAATTACATACCAAATTATCTAGATAATTAAAGAAATAATTATTACTTTTAAAAATTTTAAATTTTAGTACCAGGGATTATATGGTATTTGAGTTTTTAATATCTTTAAAATAAATATTAGTACTTATAAACACCTTAATAGGGATTGACTAGGGGACCGCACTCCTATCCCCTTGTATTTTCTAATCTTATTTTACACCCACTAAAAATTTATAACTTTGTACTCCTAAAATTTTTAATAAAACTTTTCGAATTCCCTCATATAAATGTCTCTAAATTAATAAAAAATCCTTTTAGGGGAAAATATCATTATTTTTCTTTGTATTAAAAATAAAAAAGTGAGTTAATTATTTAAATTTGGAAAATTATTCATCTTTTCTATATAAATTTACTGAAAAATTATATAATGCGAATTAAATGAAGCAATACACGAATAAAACAAATTAAATAAAGTATACATACGACCGCTTACTAATAAATAGGTTTTAATCTAATTGATTGAATCAAATGATAATATGGATAAAACAATAAGAAAAAAATTACAATTAAAAAAAAAGAATACTGAATATTACGTGATTTTTTTAATATGCTAATTTTGTCAATCATATCACTTAATTGTTTAATTAATATCATCGTATAAAAAATGTTATATATAATAAAATTGGTATAATTATATATTTGGTTCTCATTACTTTATGTATATATCAATTTTATCCTAATTGTATGAAAAATGAATTAAATTATACTGGTGTTAAAGGAAAGAATCATACCTGAGACTTAAAGGAAGAACAAGACATGTCTAAATCATATGGACAAACTCTTTACTTTATTATATGTCATGTACATATCTTATATTGTAGATAGTGTTGAAAAATTAAATAAAACGGACCAAAAATGGATTTGAATCTAAGCCAATTATAGAGTCTAAGAACACCTAAACAACTAAAACAAATATGGTGTCTATATTGTATGAATTAGGAGTGGAATTCTAAAATTTAAAAGCGGATAGTTAAAAAGAGTTAAATTAAAATACAAGACTATATTCATAATTTGCCCAGCATCGTTCCATTTTTGTATTTAGTGGGCCATTTTCCCTTTTTCTTCTTAATTTCCAATCCAGTAACTCTGTGTTTTATTATTATTCCAATCAGTGTATTAAAAACCTAATTCATATTGTTGATTTGAGCGCCGGATTAGGCCCGGTAAGAAACAACTTTTAAGTCGTTAAATGCACGAATAAAAGTACGTCTTTACTCGCGCAAATAAAAGTAAGTCGTTAAATGGTACTCAGGCCGACGCCTCCTTATTTATTCGTCGACTTGGTGACAAGTTGGAGTATGTTCTTATATACGTTGATAACATTATAATCACGGGTTATGATGATGAGGATTTTGCACAAGTAGTGACGTTCTTAGGTAATGAATTCTCTCTAAAAGATTTAGGGAGATTGATTTTTTTTTTTGGCATTGGAGGTTACACGAAGTGATCAGATGCTAGTTCTACGACAAAAGTTCATTCTTGAGTTGCTTGACAAAGCTGGCATGCGTGGTGGTCATCCAGTTCCAACACCAATAGTTTTATCACCCAAATTAAGTAAAAATGGTGGAAGTCTATTACCAGATGCTCAAATGTATAGAAGTGTCGTGGGGCTCTCTTATATCTCAATCATACACGTCTGTACATTGGATTTAGTGTGAATCGCGTTGCTCAATATATGCATGCCCCATGTGAACAACATTGGATAGCCGCGAAGCGCATCCTTCGCTATCTCAGTGGGATTTTGTATTATGGGTTAATCTTCCACAAGAATAACATTGATATTCAACTTGAAGCGTTTGTCGATGCTGACTAGGCAAGCAACGTTGATGATAGTCGTTCCATTTTTGGATTTTGTGTGTTCCTCGGAGGAAATCTGGTTTCTTGGTCGTCTAAATGACAACACTCAATCTCGAGGTGCACCACTGAAGCGGAGTATCGTGGGATTGCAGAAGTTACTAATGATGTCGTGTGGCTTACAACTTTGCTCAAATATATAGGTATAGTGTGCTCTAATCAACCTGCCATTTGGAGCGACAATACAAGTGTCATCTTTACGAGTGCAAACCCAATATTTCATTCACGTTCGAAACATGTTGAGTTGGATTTACATTTTATTCGGGAAAAGGTCGCTGCTAGTGATGTTGCCGTTAATTATGTTCTTGCTTCACATCAGTGTGCAGATGGTTAACTAAACCCTTGTCGAGGGCCTATTTTTTCATGTTTCGCGACAGGTTGCATATCTCTAGAGGTGATGAGCCATAAAACGTAGGGAGAATGTTAGCTGATAAAAACAAATATTAGTTGGTTTGTTAAAATGGGTGTAACAACATAGGTGAGCTGGCGTAACCAACTGGATTCTTCTAGTAGGTCATTTGTAAAAGGATAAATATAAGTTTATATGAAAGGAAAAAAAGCAGTGCATTTTGTATGTTTACAAGAAAAGTTTAACAGTGGAGGAGAGTATTGCTTATAATTAGACGGCGAGAAAAAGAAGTCGTAATTAGTTTAGAAGGTGGCGGGGCCAAAATGGTAAAGCCATCATTCAAGGTTTGGACATGGTTTGCCGTTACCTGCTGTCTGCCCATTCTTTTACTTGCTGTCTGGTTTTGAAGCGGAGCTGATGGACGGCACTTAATTAGGTCCTCTCGCGCCCCCTGTAGGATGCCTAGAAATTTTTGAGGCAAAATATATGCATGCATCAACTTTTAGCTATAGGCATGCAAATGTCATTATGATATGATCTTAATATCTCGAGATGATTAGCCATTTCAATGTTTTCTCATCCTCAATTCTACTGCTTTTCCATCACCCTTCTATTGGATCCATCGAATATGTGCACATGTTTTTGTTGTCATCATCAAACGAGTCGGGCTATTAATTTTTTTTAGTAAGAAGAAATGAATTTAAGTCACAATACAGGAAAAAAAGTGATTTATAGGTAAAGGTAACATCGTCTAGAAGGAGGATGAATGAGAAGAATGTTGTAAGAGAAAAAAAACTAGATTGGATTCTTCTATGAGAAAAATCAAAAAGTTCAAAAACGTGTAGAATGATGGAGAATTACGTCTCTTATAATGGGAGTCTTTAATTTTATATAATTCACATTTCAATGAAGCCATGAAAAGATTGAGAAGTGACTGAATGCTATATTACAAAAATAATAGAAAAAGGCATATCAAAATAAGTCATCAAAATATACCTAAATTTTAGAATATGTACGTAAATTATTTTTTTGAGTCATTTAGGTACCTAACGTTACAAACATTACCCATTTAAGTGTCCAGACTGTTAGCGACGTTAATTTACCCGTTAAATGACAGGCGTCACAATTAGTGATTTTGAAATTTATTTTTAAAAAATATTATTATATTAATAAAAAAAACTCTGATTTCTCTTAAATTATTAAAAAAAACCAAATATCTAAAATCCCAAATCCTATCCTTAACCCGCAGTCACCCTCCTTTTTGGCCATGACCGCTGCCGACATAGTCCATACCATCCTCCTAGTCATAAGCCGTCGAGATCGTGATTTTCAACTTAGGGTTCAAAACATTTATTTGCGACTGATCACTCACGATTTCATGGGGGTTTTAGCTGTTAGGGGAGATGAGATTGGGTGAGTTTTGTCGACGACAAAAGACGATGACCGGCGTGGGTTTAAAGGTTGAAATAAAGGTTTTCAAAATTTTTTGGATTATTTCAAAATGTTTTTTTTTCTTTATATATATATATATATATAATTTTATTTTTAAATAAAAATTTTAAAAACACCATATTGTGACATGTGTCACTTATGAAAAAATCAACGTCATTGGTAGCTCGGACACTTAAATAAATAACGTTTATAATATTACACACTTAGATGAGTTAAAAAATAATTTAGACAGCTATTAAAGAATTTATGTATAGTTTAAACACTTTTTTTTTTTTGTTAGAAAATGTCTACGTTCATATAAAATACTACCTAAACTGTCATTCACCGGTAGATGCACAAAAGTCAGCACTTAAATTTTGGTTTATTCCACAGCATCCAATTCGTACACGAAATGTGTTGCATTGACAAAAATAAATAAAATCTATCTTAATTTACCTCTTATTAAAATTAAACTTTCACTTGTAACCCCAAAACAATTAAACTTTCAATCAATAATTTTTTTTTTGTTTTAATGCACGAACTTTATTATAATATTAATTTTGGTCCAATTAACCTGGACTCGGTACACAAAAATGTTTGTTACAAGTTTATTTAAGATCACATTGAATATTTTCTGATTCAATTATGCTTTGGACAAGGACATTTAGTTGACTAAGCTCAAGGACATTTAGTTGACTAAGCTCGGGAACAATATATGGACTAGATAAAGGGAATCGTTAAAGAGGATTAGATAATAAGTGTCGATATCTGGATCCCTAAGCTCACGCTCTTCTCATTGAGCTATGGTTTACTGCAATTTAGTCTCTCACCATGCAAATGCCAGATGGATTTCCCTTCTGAATTGGCGTGTCAAGGTATCAAACAACAAAAGCAAGAAGCGAAGAGTTACCTTCTGTTTTTTAATATTAGATTCAATATTCTATTTACATCAGTTATATTCTAACTCCCTCAAACCAATTTCAACAAAAAGAACAAACCAGACAAGTATGGATATCTCCCCAAGTTGGTTGAATTTCACCACTTCTGGTCTAGCACTTCTCCAGAAATGGCTGCAGCTAGTGCTGCTGTGAACTTTGGGTCTTTAGTCAATGAAGCCGCCATTTGTTGAACTAGAATCTGTTGAATCGCCGGTCGATCGACTTGTTGGGTAGGTTTCTTGGTATCATTATCCCATCCATCTGGTTTCATCAAGTCCAGAGTTACAACGGGAGCCGAAGATTTGGCGGGGGCAGAAGAAGAAGAAGAAACAGCGGCTGAACGAGGGTTGTTGGTGGCTCCACCATTAATGGGGTTTAATGACGATAATGCAGCCTGTGCATGGTTGTGTTCTCCTTGATAAGTAGCCACCAAGATCGATGGATCTTCAGCACTTCTTTGCACCTTCTTCTTCACCGGGCAACTCGGGGCGAAGGAGCATTTGAAGTATGCCCTGGGTGAGGGGTTATCTCTTGTGACCTTCTGACCATATTTTCTCCATTGATATCCATCTCTCACAATCTGTATCCATAACAACAATTTTCAGATACTCGGAGGCTAATTAACTTTATCTGGCAAGATGAATTAAAAGTCTAGAGACTTACCAGGCTGTTATCAGAAGGATCTGTGAGTACGCAAGATGTTGAAATTTTGGTCGTACTGCACTCCTTAGGCTTTTTGCATGAGTTTTCATCACTACAGCTGCTCTCAGTGAACCCAATCATGGTGCTACTGTAATCCTCACACTCGGCTGCTTTCCTCTTCTTTGAAGATGCTGCAGCAGCTTCATTTTCTGAGTTCTTGCTCACCAATTCCTTGTATTTGTTTTGCAAAGAGGTGTAGTGTTCGCATAAAACTGTTAGCATCTCGGTTAGCTTCTTGTTCTCGGCGCTAACCCTGTTCAATTCCTCCACCAAAACTCCAGCCTGTTACAACCAAAATAAACAATCAGTATCGAAATGATCTAGTCAAGACGTCCGATTTTAACCAACTAACCCAGAAACCGACCTCTTGTTTAACTGGTACTCTGACATCAGAGTCGACCATTTTCCCATCAGATTCTCTCTTCTGTTTCAAAAAAAAACTTTTATAAGCCCAATGATTTAAATCAACAAAAACCAATTTATTTTTCCTCAACTGATGATAACCCGAACTCACCACAGCTTCGTTGGTACGATGAAAAGAGTTGATGTTGAGATCCAGGGTCGTACCCACCCAAGCTGATTCCATCACTGAAATTTACACTATACCACAAAAGAAAACCAGAAGCAAAGAGCGGGTGAGCTGAAGAAGAAGAAGAGTTGCGTATGAAGGATTTGTGAAGGGAATAAGAGATTAATACCCAGAAGCCAGGAATATGGGGAATTATATATAGAGGGATTTGGATTATCCAGGAAAGTTAGCGGAAATGAGGCGACATCCCACTTGGAAATAGGCCGCTCACGTTGGGAACATGTCTACATTCATACAAACAAATAAGAGAATAAAAAATAGAATTTGGTTTTGTGTATAGGGGCGAGTAAAGAAATATTGAAATTCCAAAGGCGGTGTCAAGGTCAAGAGTCAAAGAGTGAAGCCCCCCAACGAGGAAGAGGACACAGATTTTGAGCTCGCAATGACTAAAACAACTAGAGAAGCTTCCTCATGTTGACCTTAACATTATCTTGTCCACTTTCTCGCTATCAGGCCAGCTCACCCCTCTCCTTCCAAGCTCTTTCTTTCTTCCATTTCTAAACCACCGTAAAAATAATAAATACACGTTTTGTCGCGTGCCCAACGTGTTCTTTTAGTTCATAATATTTTAAATCTCACAGTTTTATATATACTCCATCTTATCAGACTTATGATGTCGCTAAATAAAAAAATATATTTATAAAGTTTAATTTAATTTAATAATACGTGAATTGTTAAAGGATTTATATAATCGTGTTTTTTGGGTACGATATGATCTTGTGTTTTTTTTACATAAAATAAAAGTTTAAGTTAAGGGTGACCCACAGTCCAGGTACATGGCATACCTTGTTGAAAATTCAATATTAGCCTATATGTTCACACCTAAATTAATTTGATGTCATTGCTTACATCAATTTAGTTTTGATGTCATTGCTTACATCAATTTAGTTAGGTGAAAATTAAGTATTTTTCTCATGTTTTAATTTCAATGGTTTAGATTATTTAGTGTTTATTTTAATGAGTGGTTTAGATTGTTTCTTGTAACCTATAAATACCCTACTTGTATTTGAGTTTTATCATCCAACAATCAAAGCTTAATTATAAGCATTTGAAAGCTTTCTTAAGAGTTATTCCCTTTTGCAATTTTGTGAGATTATTCTAAAGAGAGTTTTTTTTAATCAATTAGAGTTTTTACTCTATTTTGATTCAACAATTGGTATCCGAGCCACGTTTTTTAAGATCTCTTGAAATTCTGAGTATGCTCTGTGGCTGCAGTTTTTAACTGATCTTCCACATCAGAAAATATTTCTTGAGTTATTGTCGAGGTTATTACAAACCTTGTGGAGCTTCTTTGTGTTTAGAGTAATTTAGTACTCTGCACGTTTGTTACTCAAGCTTGTTCGGTGTAGTCAAAGCCTTGCCGTTAAGATGGGTGATCTTCAAGTAGTTGGAGGAATCAAGAAGCTCAACAACAAAAACTACAACACGTGGGCAACATGTATGGAGTCATACTTACAAGGTCAAGACCTTTGGGAGGTTGTCGGTGGTGGTGAAGTTACACAACCGGCGACAGAAGATGCCAATGGAATCTTGCGAAAGTGGAAAATTAAAGCAGGCAAAGCAATGTTTGCTTTAAAGACCACAATTGAAGAAGAAATGTTGGAGCACATCCGGGATGCTAAAACACCAAAGGAAGCATGGGACACTTTTGTTACACTCTTTTCGAAGAGGAACGATACAAAATTGCAACTTCTCGAGAATGAACTTCTATCAATGGCGCAACGCGACATGGCGGTTGCCCAATACTTTCACAAGGTGAAGTCGATATGCCGTGAAATTTCAGAATTAGATCCGACAGCTGCTATTGGGGAAGCCAGGATAAAAAGAATAATTGTCCATGGTTTGAGACCCGAATATCGAGGGTTTGTTGCTGCTGTACAGGGATGGCCGACACAACCATCGCTTGTTGAGTTCGAAAATTTGCTTGCAGGTCAAGAAGCCATGGCCAAGCAAATGGGAGGAGTCTCGTTGAAGGGTGAAGAGGAAGCGCTCTACACCAGCAAAAGCAGAGGCACTTTTCAACGGTATACTGGCAATGGATCTAAAAGGATGGTGACAAGGTGAAAAATTACCAAGGAAAGGGAGGCCCTCATTCAGGGGGAGCTTCCAAGAATCGCGGTAATAGTAGAAAGTTTGATGGCAAGTGTTACAATTGTGGGAAGATGTGCCACATGGCAAAAGACTGTTGGACCAAGAAAAAGCCTGTTGAAAGTAATACTGCTACTTCTTGTTCGAAGGAGAATAGTGAAGATGGTTGGGATGCTAAAGTGTTATTTGCTACGGAGGAAGATGAATTAGCTCTCACGGTAACAACACCAGAACGGATTGACTACAAGAATGATTGGATCGTAGATTCTGGCTGCTCAAATCATATGACGGGTGACAAACAGAAGTTGCAAAACCTGTCTGAGTACAATGGAGGTCGTGTGGTGGTGACAGCTGACAACTCAAGGTTACCGATAACTCACATCGGTAAGACAATAGTTACTCCTCGATATAATACTAACCAGGTGCAACTCCAAGATGTTTACCATGTCCCAGGAATGAAGAAAAATTTGCTATCTGTGGCTCAACTAACATCATCAGGCCATTATGTCTTATTTGGTCCCCAAGACGTGAAGGTTTATCGTGACGTCAAAATCACAGAAACACCAACAATGGAGGGACGATGTTTGGAATCAATTTACGTGATGTCAACAGAGTCTGCATATGTAGACAGGACAAGGAAAAATGAGACATCAGATCTATGACACATGCGGTTAGGTCACGTTAGCTATTCCAAGCTAAGTGTGATGGTGAAAAAGTCGATGCTTAAGGGGCTTCCTCAACTAGACGTGAGAACAGACACGGTCTGTGCGGGATGCCAGTATGGTAAAGCACACCAATTACCATATGACGAGTCAAAGTTTAAAGCAAAAGAACCTTTGGAGTTGGTTCACTCTGATGTGTTCGACCGGTTAAGCAACAGTCAATTAGCGGTATGCGGTACATGGTAACATTCATTGATGACTTCTCCAGGTATGTGTGGGTTTTCTTTATGAAAGAAAAATCTGATACTTTCTCAAAGTTTAAAGAGTTCAGAGACTCAGCTGAAGGAGAAGTGGGAAAGAAGATATGCTGCTTGCGCACAGACAACGGAGGAGAATATAGATCAAACGAGTTCTCTCAATACCTAAGGGAATGCCGAATACGTCATCAGTACACTTGTGCCAACACGCCACAACAGAATGGTGTAGCGGAAAGAAAAAACCGGCATCTTGCAGAAATTTGTCGAAGTATGCTACATGCAAAGAACGTATCTGGAAGGTTTTGGGCTGAAGCAATGAGGACTGCAACCTTTGTGATCAACAGACTTCCTCAACCAAGGTTAGGATTTGTTTCACCCTTTGAGAAACTATGGAACATAAAACCTACAGTTAGCTACTTTCGAGTATTTGGCTGTGTATGTTATGTTTGTTCCTGATCATTTACGGAGTAAATTTGACAAGAAAGCTGTTAGATGTATCTTTGTGGGATATGACAGCCAGAGAAAGGGGTGGAAATGTTGTGATCCAATTAGTGGAAGATGCTACACGTCACGAAATGTGGTATTTGATGAAGCATCTTCTTGGTGGTCCTCAAAGAAGGAGGTGTTGCCAGATTCGAGAGAATTTGGAGACAAACTACAACAAAAGATGGGGGAGCATGATGTTCAACTTCAAACAAGTTCAGATGAATCATAAGATCCAAATGGCGATGATGTCGAACAAAGAGTGACTCAGAATCCGTGGCAAACTGGCGTGTATCAACAACCAAACGAAGAAGGTGGGCCTAGTGAAACAGAAGAATCAATTCCACAATCTCAACTTCGAAGGTCAACAAAAATACGAAGGCCAAATCCCAAATATGCCAATGCAGCCATAATTGAAGAAGCAACGGAGCCTGAGACGTTCGAAGAAGCATCGAAGAGTTCTGAGTGGATGACAGCTATGAAAGAAGAGATCAATGCACTTCAGCAAAATCAAACTTGAGATATTGTACCAAAGATAAAAGATGTGAAACCCATATCTTGCAAATGGGTTTACAAGATAAAGCGCCGTCCAGATGGGTCAATCGAGAGGTACAAAGCGCGATTGGTAACTCGTGGTTTCTCTCGACAGTATGGATTATACTATGATGAAACATTTAGTCCAGTGGCGAAACTTACAACCGTACGAGTCTTACTTGCACTTGCAGCCAACAAAGACTGGAACTTGTGGCAGATGGATGTAAAGAATGCTTTTCTTCATGGAGAGCTAGATCGAGAGATCTACATGACCCAACCAATGGGTTTTCAGAGTCAAGATCATCCTGAATATGTATGTAAGCTGCGAAAAGCACTCTACGGATTGAAACAAGCACCTAGGGCGTGGTATGGTAAGATTGCTGAATTTCTAACGAAAAGTGGTTATTCAGTAACACCTGCAGATTCTAGCTTGTTTGTCAAAAACCAATGAAGGTAAGCTAGCTATCGTGCTAGTGTACGTGGATGACTTAATCATAACCGGTGATGATGAGGCAGAAATTCTTTAGACGAAGGAGAATTTATCAGTTCATTTCCAGATGAAGGAACTTGGACAACTTAAGCACTTTCTTGGTCTAGAGGTTGATCGTACACACGAAGGAATATTTCTATGTCAACAGAAATATGCTAAAGATTTGCTGAAGAGGTTTGGAATGCTCGAATGCAAGTCAACTTCAACGTCAATGGAACCAAATATCAAAATGTGTGCACATGAAGGAAAAGATTTGGAAGATGCAACAATGTATCGACAATTGGTAGGTAGTCTGATCTACTTAACCTTGACTCGACCTGACATTTCTTATGCAGTTGGTGTGATGAGTCGGTATATGCAAAATCCAAAGAAGCCTCATTTGGAAGCAGTTCGACGAATACGGAGATATGTGAAGAATACAATTGACTATGGTCTTTTGTACAAGAAAGGTGAAGACTGCAAGTTAGTTGGTTATTGTGATGCTGATTATGCAGGAGATCATGACACCAGGAGATCAACAACTGGGTATGTGTTTAAGTTTGGCTCCGGAACAATTTCTTGGTGTAGCAAAAGACAACCAACGGTATCATTGTCAA